CTACAGGGTCGGACATCCCCAATACCAATAGAGAACAAAAAAGATAGGCAAGGGCTGGGTTTTTCTTAGGGGCCGCTGAAGAAGCTCTCTTACCCACTTCGATCAAAATCACCTGGAGGTCAAATGATCCGGTTTGGGTACCTCAGTGGCCCCTGCCTAAGGAGAAGCTATTAGCCTTGTCAGAAATAGTCAGTACACAACTTAGATTAGGACACATTAAGCCGTCAACCTCCCCATGGAACACCCCCATTTTTATAATTAAGAAAAAGTCTGGCAAATGGAGGCTGCTCCATGATCTAAGGGCGGTCAACGCGCAGATGCAGTCCCTGGGGGCGGTCCAGAGGGGGCTGCCAGCTCTCTCAGCCATCCCTCAGTCCTGGCCAGTTTATGTTATAGATCTTAGAGACTGTTTCTTCTCAATCCCCCTGCATCCAGAGGACACTCATAGGTTTGCCTTTACTTTACCCACCATTAACCAAGAAAGCCCTGATCTCAGATACGAGTGGATAACGCTGCCCCAAGGTATGGCCAACAGTCCCACTATGTGTCAGATTTACCTTGATTCCCTACTGGCCCCCCTACGGAAATCCTTTCCCAAGATAAGATGTGTGCATTACATGGACGACCTTTTGCTCAGCGGCAGGGACCCAGACATGCTAAATAATATGCTCGGCCAGTTGGTCGAGGCCCTGAGACAAGCTAATCTGCATGTTGCCCCCGACAAGATTCAGGGAGGAGAAATGGTGACCTACTTAGGCGCGAAAATCTCCCCTATGCTAGTCTCTCCACAGAAGGTCACCATTAGGACGGATGGCGTTAGGACCCTAAATGACATGCAAAAGCTATTGGGAGACATTAATTGGATTAGGCCATATTTACATATACCAAATTCAGATCTCAAACCCCTGTTCGACCTTCTAAAGGGAGACCCAGATATAGCCTCCCACAGGAGGCTCACTCCTGAGGCAAGAGCTGCCTTACAGAGAGTGGAAAAAGCCTTAGGTGGGGCTACCTTACACAGAATTGAACCAGGGCGACCCTTTGATGTCTGTTTGCTACAGACTAGTCTACAGCCCACAGCGGTGATTTGGCAGAAAGGACCATTACTGTGGATACACCCTAAGGTCTCACCTGCAAAAGTCATAGAGCATTACCCGGAGGCAGTCGCTTCATTGGCCCTTGAAGCGCATGATAGAGCTGTCCAACATTTTGGCTCAGGACCACAAGCCATCCGAGTACCCTATACCGCCAGCCAGATCAAGACCCTGGCTGCCTGCATAGATACATGGGCCATTCTGAGATGTGTTTTCCATGGGGATATAAACAATCAATACCCTAAAGACCCTATCTTGTCATTTGTCACTCAGCACCCTGTAATTTTTCCAAAGGTTACTGCCTCTGAGCCATTAGTCCCAGCAACTACAATATATACAGATGGCTCCAAGACGGGGATAGGCGCCTATGTGATCCTAGGCAAGCCCCCGGTTACCATACAATTTGAACCTGATCAGCCTCAGGTGGTGGAACTGCAGATCGTTAAAATGATTCTTGAACGGTTCTCAGAAGCCATTAATATTGTCTCCGATTCTAGGTATGTGGTCAATGCTATGCAAGTGCTTGAGACTGCCGGTTTAATTAGATCCACTTCCACAGTGGCTGGGCTGTTCCTGTCTATCCAGACATTGCTTCAGAACAGACACCATAAGGTCTTCACCACCCACATAAGAGCACATACATCCCTGCCAGGGCCTATGGCACAGGGGAATGCGGCTGCTGATACTGCCACTCGCCCGTTATGGATTTTTACCTTACTAACACCAATCGAGCGAGCCCGTGCCTTCCATGATAAGTTTCATGTCAATGCCAGGACACTAGCAAACCATTTCCATGTTTCCAGAGCAGATGCACGAGATATCGTGCGACTATGTGACTCCTGTGCCACATACAAACCTGCCATACCGATGGGAGTAAACCCTCGAGGTTTGATCCCTGGTGATGTTTGGCAGATGGACATCACACATATACAGGAGTTTGGGACTCTTAAATATGTTCATGTTTCCACAGACACCTGTTCTCACGTCATATTCGCAACAGCAGAAACAGGTGAAAAAGTGTCTAATGTGATCAATCATTGCCTGGCGGCTTGGGCCGCATGGGGCAAACCAAAAATATTAAAAACTGATAATGGACCAGCCTATATAGGCAAAGCCTTCAATGAGTTCTGCAAAATGATGGAGGTTCAATTAAAACATGGTATCCCATACAATCCCCAAGGTCAAGGAATCATTGAGAGGGCTCATAGAAGCCTCAAAGAAATTTTACAAAAACAAAAAGGGGGAGCAGGCCAAGGCCTGGCCCCAAAGGCACGATTATCCATGGCACTATTCACACACAATTTTTTAAATTTAAATAATGATAATTGCTCCCCAGCCGTGGAGCACTGCAACCCTTCCCCCAACCATAAAGGGTGGGTGAAGTGGAAAGATGTCCTGACAGGACAATGGATGGGCCCGGATCCAGTGGTCAGCTGGAACCGAGGCGCGGTTTGTGTTTTCCCACAGGAATCGGGACGAGAACCACTGTGGGTACCGGAGAGACTGACACGGGCAACAAAGCCCTCGACTGAAGATCAGACCTGCCCTACCGGAGATCCATCACAGACCAACCAACAAGATGAATAGAAATAGCGGTAGCCCGAAATGGACAAGAAGATCCTCAGGCATATGCATGGCTCGCTCGCCTAGCCTACGACCGAGTCTAGGGGTGGTGAGCTTCCCACACTCCTCCTCTAAAAAATTATGACATAGCTGGGTAGGAGAGTCAATGACGGGTAAGAGCGTACTCCCCCGGTGCGACTCAACCTAAGCCAGGCCCTACCCCATCCTGCACGTAAGCCGCTGGACTGTTAGATGCTGCCCAGGTCTAAATTTCTCTCCGAGGGGATTTCTTTACGGAGAGGAAATGAGTGCAAGCTTGTGTGCATCCAGGTTCCGTCCAGTTTGTGCCTGGCCCTAGAAAAAGGACGAGGGCCTCAGGGCCTTGGCGGACCATGGGACAGCCGACCAGGGTCTAAGCCAAGGACCTACAGTGGGCCTACGCATAGGGCATAAGCCTCTGCACCCGGTCCAGGAAGGGCTACGATGCGCACATTCATAAAAAATAAAAAAGGGGGAGATGTTGGGAGCCGCAGCCCCGAGCCCGGTCGCCTCACTTGGCGGACGTGAGGCCTGTAGTAAAGAGTAAAGCCTGAGGTAGATTACCCCTCCCATCGAGCACGTTAGTTTCCTGCTTACCGCGTAAGCAACCCGCTCAACAATATAGTCTGCCTGGCAACTGATGATGTTAGCCAATCAGCTTGCCTTGCTTACTTTAACATGATTGGACACTGTATCCGTATATATACTGGTGCCACCCCTGGGGGAGAAGAAGAAGCCCGGAAGTAGAAGCCCAGAAGGAGCCGCGGGGAGCGGACCAAAAGAGGCTTCGGCTGGGAGCGATCCCAGGGCAGGCTGTACGGAGAAGGAAAATAAAAGAAAAGGTTGTCCACTGCCAGACTTTGTCGTGTGTCCTTCCTGCCGGCCAGGAGCGACATCGACAACTGTATAGTCTCCCTAGTGTAAAAATGGTAAGAATACATAAAAGGATATGGTAATCATGATTCCCCATTACATTGCGTTGAAGACTTATAATGTTTGCATTCATTAGTTGGAATGGTTTCATCCTGGTTTATTTGATTTTTTTTGTCTTTTTCCTTTTTATCGGTACCAGGGATCGAACTCACAACTGCCTGCTTGCAAGGCAGGCACTTATGCCGCTGAGCTAAATCCCCAGGCCCTGGTTTATTTGATTTTATTATCTATGATACTATGAACAGCTATTTTGAAGAAAACAAGACAGTATAATAGCCAGTGATGATTTAATATCATCTTACTCTGAGGTCCTACTATGCTTTTGCTCTTCTGTTTCCATTGGTACTATCATAATATGTCTTACTGGATTTTATTATGTGTGATAGTATAAACAAATTTTCTATGGAAAATGAGATAATATAGTAGCCATTGTTTGTTCTCTGTTATTTGGTTCTGAATTCCCTGTCATGCTTTCATTCCCTTGAATAGTTTTATACTATTTTGTCATGTTAGAAACTATCGTATATGGAGTTATGCTCAACTATTTCAAAGAAAGAGACATTATGATAGTTAATGTTAATTACGGGTTGTCTTGTGGTAAAATGCTTTGTTGCTTGCATTGTTCTGATCTGATCTGCTTTGGTTATGTCCTCTTTTGTCTTAATCTCTTTAAAATAAAAAAAATTTAAAAAGGAAAACCAATAGAGAAAAAAGGCAATTAGTAGATGTCAGAAGCTGGGAGGAAAGGAAGAATTGATAATGATTATTAACACAGTATAGGGGTTTTGTTTAGGGTGTTTGGAAAAGTTTGGAATTAGACAGTTGTGATAGATACATAGCACTGTGAATATACTAAATATCACTGAAATGTATACTTTAAAATGGTGAGTTTTAGCCTAATGTTATGGTGTTAGCTATTCAGGAACCTGAGGCAGGAGGATTACAAGTTCAAAGCCAGCCTAGGCAACTCAGCAAAGATTTGGCTTAAAATAAAATAAAACAGGGCTGGGGATGTACTACAGGATTTTAGTGACTCAAATCACAGTACCACCAAAGAAAGTGAATTTTATGGTGAATAGGAACAATCAATACCAATTAAATAAAATTAATTTAAAATGTTATTCCTCACACAACCTTTATGAGATAAGTATTATGACTGTTCCCTTTTACACATAAGTTAAAAGATCCTTAAAGAAGCAAAATAGCTTGTACAGATCACAGAGGTAGGCAGTGAAGGAGCAGTGTGAAACTGGGGAATGAAGGACAGAAAAGCAGGCAAATGTGAAGGCTTGAACAGCAAAGCAGCAATCTAAGTTTATGTTGATGGTAGACCTGAACACAGCAAATAATTGAAAATAAAGTAGAACTTACTTCAGCTGTGTGACTTTGCAGGACAATCTCAGTGGGCTTTGAATTGGAAACCACAGCTAGGAATGCCTAGAGTAAACCAAAAAAAAAAAAAAATCAATTTAGTATCTTCAATCAGAATAAACATTTTACTATAACCTCTTTGCAAATACACATATGTATTTTATATGTGGGTATGTGTTTATTTATGCAGTCAGACCTTCTTATCAGTGTGTTCTACCTCTGTGCATTCAAATAATTGAGGATCTAAAGTATTCTTTAAAAACTAAAGTCAGTCCTTAGTATTGTTTTCTGAACAATACAGTATAACTATTATTTGTGCAGCACATACATGGTACTAGGTATTATAAGTAATTAGACATGATCTAACATAAATAGGAGGATGTGCATAGGCCATATGTTTCTACTATACCATTTTATAAGAAATGTGTACATCTGAAGATTTTCTACCTGCAGGCATTCCTGGAACCAACTTTCCTAAGATATCAAGAGATCACTCTCTCTATATATTTTTTTCTCTTAAGTACACTGCATTTATTAAAGGTTTCCCATGTGCTGGGAATGTATTCCAGTCATTTAAACTTCTGGCTACCCTGTGTGCAACTATTTGATTTTATAGAAGAAGAAAGTGAAGCAAGGAAAGAGTAGGAAAATTGCTTAAAGTCAGAGAGAGGCGGGAGGGAAAGAGAGAGAGGAGGAGAGAGAGAGAGAGAGAGAGAGAGAGAGAGAGAGAGAGAGAGAGAGAGAGAGAGCATGATGACAGATGGTATCAGAAACCAATTCTACTGGTCTTCTTCTCTGCCAGTCTTCTTTCAGCCACCTAATAAGGTATTAATCTTACTTAGATTCATAGTGTACCCACTACCCACAAGCCTGGAAGGAAGAGAGTGAGGAATCTCTTTCCTATCCTTATTTAGCAAGGAACTGACCAGTGTGCCAGAGTCTACGGAAATCCTAGGAGGGTCCTCATGTATCTTGTGCTACAATCAGACCTTAGTCTGAAGTTCTGGAAATGGGGGAGGGTCCTGTTTTATAATCCCCTCATTTTGAGGGCACCAAGTCCCACAGGGTTGTAGCCACACCAAGCCTAACCAAGGGCAGGCTCATAGTTTAGACACTACTCGTGCATTCTGTCTCATTTTTTTCTCTCTCAAAGAATTGAAAGATTTAACACCAAATAGAAAATAATATATTTGGGTTTGCCCTTCACTTTAAACTACAATCTGGACCTAAAGTTTAAATTATAATCTGACCCCAGGAACCCTATCCACTTTGCATGCAAACCATGGGCATTTTCTTTTTCTTTAAAGGAGACGGTCAATACTTTTCCTCAGATTTTCAGTCTGTGCACTCTTGCCCAACTCAAAAAAAACAAGTTACGATTTATTTAACATTTAGGACTTTAAACTGTCAGCAAGTACTTCCTCCCCGTTGTAGTTATCTCTGATATCTTTACCTGGGTCTCACACACACAGGCAGCGTCACTCCCTGTACGCACCCTCGGGGGTCCTTGCACCTGAGTCTTCCGCAGCTCTGTCAGATAACCAGACATGCATCCATCTGCTCTGAAAGTATTTTCATAAGTAACCACACGCACACCCCCGCGTGCACCACACTTGCGTCGCTTCCACACACTTCCACACAAACCCGCATTCCCACACGGTGGCGCCTCCGCACAGATACACCTCTCTCACGCATAGCCCCTCAGCACGCTTAGCAGCCCACTTGGATACGGCCCCACCCCTCCCACGTTTCCTCTAGACATTTTCCCTTCTCCCCTTGCAAAGGCCGGTACCGGGCCGGTCCTTCAGGTTTAGCTTCTGTGATGGTGCTCCTAGACACATTGGGCCCTCTGAGCGACCCAGCGGCAGGCAGTCTGCTTGCACAGCGGCTTCCCTTAATCCCTTGGAGACGCTGGCGCGGAGGAGGAGGGGCGGGGAATGGGCGGGGAATGGGAGGGGAATGGGCGGGGAGGGGAGTAGAAAAGGAGGGGTGGGGAGGGGCAGGCTCCCGACGTGAGACCTTGGAAGCTTTCCGACCACAGGGATAACAGCGGCTCAGTCTGAGAGAATTTCCTCTAGCTCCTGTCCCTTTGAATACGGACAGGAGAAAGTGTTTCTCACCTGATCCCCAAGACTTTGCCCTTTCTTTACTATCTGCCAGCAGGAAGGGCATTCTGAGAGAGTTTCAAAGTCTTTGGAGCGGAGGAGGGCAAATGGCTCAGAAGAGAGTTGAACGCTTGGGGCTGCGGTGGGGCAGAAGGAGGTGAGGACTGTGGAGTTAAGATGGGAGGATTGCACCCGGGGCTGTCCTGAAAGTCTCTAGGAAGATTTAAAAATCCTTTTTGGTCAGTCCTGATCCCAGAAACTGCTGGGCTAAGTAATTTCCCACTACTCTGTCTTTAACTTGATTCCACCATCCCCAAGGCAACTATAGCTAACACTGTTACCTCCAGTTGGCCATGCTTCTAGGAATCCACTGGTCTGGGCACAGAACACAGGGATTAGCCACACCCCTCCATTTTTTCTTTCCTACAGAGGCAGGTGCTTGGCATAGTGTCAGGCACACTGTAAAGAATCCACCTTGATAGTGCATATGATTAGCAAACTTCTTCATTGCATATCTGTCCCATTCGATTATGAATTTTATGAGGGTAAGGACTATGTGTTTTATTCATCACTAACTCCAGCACCTGAAACAAAGAGATTCTCAATAAATGACTTGTTGAAAGAATTAATGGATGAATAAATAAAAAGTAACTGAATGATAACCTGGACAGGCAGCCAGTCAAGACCTTTCTCTCTGGCAAGCAAAGGGTATATTTGTGGGACTTTGAGGAAAAAGGTCACAATTGGAAAAACTGGTACACAGAACTCCTGTTGATTGCTAGCTACATTAAGTCACTTGCTCTGCTCTTGGAAAGTGGGATGTCTTCAGCAATTTCCTATACGGACACTTGGAACTCAGACATGGCTATCTAGAGCAACATTTGCATCTTGTATGGTTAGTGAATAAAAATGGGGTAGGAGGAGAAAGCTGAAGAGGAAAAATGCACCTCAAAAATAATGGTGCAAATAGAAGTGAAGGAGACTGTCAGAGAAGCTCCAAGTGAATGGAGTGTGCGAAAGGATAGTCATTGCAAGAGGATTTGAATTTGTTGGTGATCCTAAAGGTAACAATAATGTAATGTACCTCTTTGTTGTAGTCCTAGTATTCCTGAGAATCTACTGTGATGTCCCAGTATTTTTGAGAAAGGCATGTAGATTAGTTTCTATCAGTACATTCACAAAGTTTGCTTTTATAAAAATCCATATTCTTTGGGCCAGAGGGGACTTTAGAAATTATCCATACACTTCAATTTATAATTTTTTAAAATTTTAACCAATACTGGGAATTGAACTCACAACCATGCACTTGCAAGGCAGATGCTTATGCTGCTGAGCTGAACCCCCAGCTCAATCCGTAGTTGAAAAACTAAAAACCAAAGAGATAACAAATGACATAAGCCTTGAGATTGTGTGGCCTTGGTACTGAATCCTGCAAAGCCTGAATTTTTGGTATATACCATTATTTCTTTAATCCCTGTCCCTTTTCCTCATTCCCTACCACAAAGAGACTGAGAACAATGAAAAGACATGAATAGGAGGTCACTGGAAAGGAGGGAAAGAAGAGGCTTCTCAACAAACCCTGGCTTTACTTCTTTTTGCTTCCCCCAACTACAGGGGAATTCCCTAGGACTTCAACAATCCTCCGTTGGAGAACTTCATTCTCGGCACACTAGTGACTTTACACTGTCCCTGTAGGTCCCACAGGCAAGGACTAAACTGAAAGCTGATCTGAGTCTTGGCAGAACACTTGTAATGGGAAGCCTAAGAAGAGATGCCTCACAACCAACTCCCACTTGCCCTCTTACCTCTGCTAGAGATTATCATGAATCAGTTTTTCATTGCCTCTCACTTTGGCTTCTGTCAGGCTACAAGGCTTCCTGACCTACTTTCCTCAGAATACAGGCACAGACTATAGAGTTGCTTGGCTTCAGTCTAGAATTGGCTTCATAGCAATGAGATATCCCACAATTTATGTGGTAGTCCTCTGGCTCTATTTGTTTCTGAGTCATCGTTTTAGGTGTTTGGGACAAAGACCACTAGGAAGTGGAATTTTTTTGTTGTGGTACTGAGAATTGAAGCACATTCCCAGCCCCTTTTTTGACACAGGATCTTGCTAAGTTGCTAAGTTTCCCAGGCTATCTTCCTATAACCCTTGAGCATAGCTCACTTACTGCGACTTAGTGAATGCCATTCGTACTTAGTGGATGCCATTCTCTTGCCTCAGCCTCCCATAATTCTGGAATTATAGGCATGCAGCCCTACCCCAAGATAGGAACTGGAACTTTTTTTCTTGGTACTGGGGATTAAACTCAGGACCTGAACGCAAAGATACAGCCCCCCCCCCAAAAAAAAAACCTGCAAGTTTTGACTGCTTTACCACAGTATGTAAATAATAAACTGTTTGAATCTAAGAATGACTTATTGTATCTTTACCTTCCAAATCAGTCAGGCCTTGGACCTTCCCTTGCCTTATGTAGTTGATAGCTACTTACTATTAATTTCTCATTCCTGTAATATTAAAGTACATTTCTTGACTCCAAGGGTGCTGAATAAGAAGGTGCAGATATTGGCTTTTATTTGCCACTGTATATCAAAGGGAAAATCAGTCCACGTTTAATTTACTGGGATTTTCAATATGGTTGGAGAAGTAACAGGTTTTCTTTGCATTCTGCATATGAGGCCAATCCTATAAGAGAGAATTGGCATCTAAATTGCATTACTTGAAAGATTCTCCCTGGTTCAGAATATGTCTCCTGTATGCCTTCTAGCACATTGCCAAACTGACCCTTCCAAACCTGAAAATTCAAAGCTTTCCTTCAATTTATCTTCTCTAGATTAGACAATGAAAGCATTGTCTCTAGAAGAACCTTCTTAATATCGTTACCAATAAAGTAAGCAGTTAGTAAGATTGTGCATTCTCTCTACACTCCTCCATTAAAACATTGTGGACAGCAAATTTATTAGTTCTTTTAATGTTTCCCTTTGAAGGAGCCTGGCCTTAAAGGACAATGGCAAGATGCAGTTATGGGAATTCTGGGCCAGTATTATGTGCCTGAGTGGGATTATACAAGAGATACTGGTGAATTCACCAAAGACAGACTTCACAATGTGTAGAGTGGCCATCTTTTTATTGTGCTGGTCAGCCTCTAGTCCTATCGTATCAGCATTTACTAATAATCTACCATACATGTCCACTCATCCCTATGTCTCCAGTAAATGCTGCCTTTCCTAATAATAACTCAATGAGTTTAGAACTCTAAAATGAGTTGAGAGAAATTATCAAATTGGGTGTTCCATTATGAATGTCAAAAATATTATTTTCATATTAGCATCACCTCCCAAAAATGAAGAGTGCAAGGAATAGAATTAAGGGCAAGTAAAAGCTGTTTCAATAACCAGACCAGATCAGTCACAACTGTAATTTGTGTGCTATGGTCAAGGGTTATAAGAAGACAACTTCAATCTTTCACTCCTGGAAATTCACAGTGAAGGAGTCATTTTCATTAGTTATCATGCCATGTACATTCTCAATATAATGTAGCAACTTTCTTGGTGATTGTTACTTCTAACATTTGTAACTGAACCACCTCACCACTACTTACAGGTTCTGCTTCACCAAGACTCTGGGAACAGCTCTACTTCTAGGTAGGGGAACATGAAAGCCCCATGTCTTCTCTTCTCTGACACATTAAATGGAACTGCTTTTCAAAATATCACATCACACACAAAAGACCATATAAAAATGTTACTGTGGACAATGGCTAACATTGTACCAGGATATCATGTACCAGTCTACCATGTAGACCACTAAATTCCTTATATTCCAAATCGTGGTTCCACTACATTTCAATTCTTTTACCTTTGGGGACTCTGAATTGACCACCTGCTTAAACTCACTTTTCTAACTGCTTGATTGACTGTCCCGTTTCGCTTCATGTTGAACGATTCTAGTCTCAGTGCAAACACTTCTATCACTAAAATATGCCCAGTCCCAGCCCTAAATGACCTCCTAGCACCCTCAGGCTTCTCCTACAGACCAGATATTTAACAAGCCAGTTCTCTTTCTTCTCATCCTATTTTGACCTTAACCAATTGATTGCTGGGTGGGTAATTACTTGTTTTTCCTTAATTCCTACCTTCTGGTCCAATCATAGAAACTGGGTGTGTCATATTTCCTTGGACTTTGCACCTTAACTTCTTTCAATTTTTAGACTGTATACTACTCCTAAAATCAAAGTCCTGAGGATGTGGATCTTAAGTTTCAGGCTCACTCTGCCCACATCTCTACCTATTATATAACAATTGGTGTTTCCCAAGTCACTAGCTGGTTCCAGTGACTCATGACCATTTTCCACTTAGCCCACCCACAGTTAAAATCCAGTGAGAGACAACCAAGAACTCATGAATACATATATATTTATTTGAGTCATAATATAGCATTTTGGATGGGCTTGGATACTTCAGAAGAGGGATGAGACTGTGTAATACACAGACACTTGTATTTCTGTCACCAGGAGAGAAACTATTGGTCAAAATTTCCTAGTACAAACAAGCCTTGGGGTAAAGCATTTGATAAAAAATAGTTCAACAATAATCTAATAAATATTCCAGCCATAACAGTAACACAGCATATGTCTAAGGCTGGCAAACACATCATAAAAGGCAGTTTTGCCTGACCTGATGGCAGTAAGTCTGGCCAACTTGGAATCCATAGCCAAATGCAGCCCAATGGCTCCAAGGCTACAAATGGCTTCAGGAGCTAGAAGTGTGGGAGTGGTTTATTTCTACCTGCCTCATACTCTCCATTCCTTGGGAAAAAGGTATCCAATCAATATTTGAGCTTATTCATAATTTTATCCATGGATTGCCACATCCAGGTATATATAAATATGTAAACCATGGAAGCTTAGAAAATTCACCTAGAATGTTTAGGCTGAAAAGAATGTGTAAGTGATTTTGTTGCGATCTGAATTTCACTGCCTCCAAAGATAGACAATGGAATTACATAATAAAAACACAACTAGATGCAGTTCCCCTTACTTACAAATAGCCAGAATCTGAATGTAGCATTAAAATTACTTTCATAGTCTCAAAACAGGTTTCATTTGTGCTTTCTTCAATAAGACAATATAAAAAGTGAGAACACACATATATTGCATACAGAAAATAATTTTGTAGCAGGGAAAACTGGGTAAAGCAACAATAAAAGCTCATGGAGTCACCTTCCTTGTAGACATTAAAAACATGGTGTAGTCCCCTTGTGCAACTGGGTACAGATAGAGGTAGCCATCGGCTTCTCTGTAGCTCCCTGGCACTGCCGGGATTCTATAAAAGTCTTTAAGTTTGCTGAATCAAATATCTGAAACTCAACACACCCGTACTGAGTACTCTGCAACTCTGGTATATCTTGGAAGTCACTTCATCATTTGGCTCAAGTTGAGATTTTAGAGTTCAACTTCATTATTTACTTCAAACTGTTTAATTTCCCCGTTTATTCAATAGGCTGAGCTGTGAGTGTTTTTTTTTTTTTACTATAATCAAAACTGTAATGGAATTTCAAAGAACAAAGTGTGAAAGAACTTATATGTTATTGAAAAGAAGGGTGCCACATGTATAAAGGCAATTTCCTAAGATAACTGTCAAAGAGTTTTTGAGAAGAACAATGCTCACTAATATGTACAAACTCTGGTATATCTGTAAAATAATATGAATAAAGACCAGGTAGAGAACTATCCAAGCTTTCCTGCCCAGGAAATAACAAATGCTACCGTGGACATTAGAGTACAAGAGAGAAACTTTGATTATTCATTTGTTCATTCATATATGCATTCAACAAACATTAGCCAGGCAACTACTCTGTTCCAGACATTGTGCCAGGTATTTAAAGTACAATAGCAGTAAAAGACATACTTCTTATCTTCAAGGTATTCCCAGCCTAGAAGTGAATATAATTATTACACATTAAACTTTTGTGTGCAAAAGAATAACCTGAGAAGCTTTTCAAGAATGTAAATTATTACCTGTGTTTCCATATATTCTAATTAAGTAGATCTACAGTGGGTCCAGGAATCAATTGTTTTAACAAACAAATCATCAAAGGTGATTCTAACATATGTGTTCTAAGGACCACATTTTTAAAAATCCGTCTGTTACACTATGTGATTATTGCTGAGAGAGGAGGATGCTTAGGGTATCATGGGAGCTCCAAAGAGGAACATCTAACCCAGTCTAAGAGGTCAGGAATTAATTGAGTTGAGAGAGGCAGTGATGAGCATACACAGTCCACCCCAGAATCACAAGTAGGGTGGAGAAATTAAATTTGTCCCAGAGCACTAAAATTTAAAGGACACAAAAATAAATGAATAGCTTTGGGGAGGAGATTAATATCAGTGGCACACTTACTAAATGCCAGGTACCATGCTAAGCAGTTTACACATGACATCTTTTTAAATGTTTGAAACAGCCTTGTGGAGTAGGTATTATTTTATGGAAAAGGTAACAGATTCAGAAGTGAAGCACATGCTATACATGGGTAACACTGTTAGTAAAGGCCAAAGACACTAGGATTATTTTAACCCAAAAGTTATGAGCTTTCCATTAAACTATTTAGCAGCAGCACTGCCAGATCTTACGGATCTTGCTCATTTACTGATTGGCAGTAAGCACTTAGGGTCTTTACAGCCAAAAAGCTGACTTTTCTATTACATGTAGAAATTAGAGCTGTTTTTGTATCTGCATCGATCTCAATTTCCATTTTTGGTAAACAGACAATATGTAGCTAATATTGGGCAGGATTTTTTTTTACATATTTTGTCTCTTCTATAGAATAGTAAGTCATTTACAGCAAGGACAATGTCTTACTAATGCATCCTTACAGCAGTAATGTGGAAACTTCGTTCATTGAACAAATTAATAAATGAGCATCCACCCAAGCTGGTGGAAAGGAAGAGGTAAAATTCTGAAATTATTTAAAGACTCTAACATAGGGGAGCGCGACAGGTATCACTTCATAACAGCAATGTTTTCACAACTCCCAAAGAGTAGCCATCCTTGAAGCAAACTTGGCTCCTAGGAATGAGAAAGCTCTGGTTCTCTTGTATATCCAACCCCTGCAGTGAAACTTACAAACCATAAAACTCAATTTCCTTTAACTGTGCTGATGAGTAGGAGGAAGATTCTGTCTCTTTTACCATGAAAGTGTGGCTAAGTAAATGAATAATGTAAACAAGGTTGCAAAAAGAATAAGCATTTAACCTATGCAGGAAAACAAAAACTGTTGTCAGGCATTCTTAAGCATTTCAGAGGTGTTTGAGCTGAAAATAAAAGTACGTTTATAAGTAAATAGCTGCTGCAACTATATCTCTCCATTCACACTGATGAAGTAAAGCAAGTCCCTACAAAAATTGAATTATGCAACTCTATTTTTAGCCTAATTCTAGTAACTATTTCTTAGGAGTGAATAATAAAACTGTTTCTTTAAAATGTTAATGTTCATGACGGAATTTTTAACAATTCAGATGGGCTGCTTCCATTAAGAGGCCTCAATTTCATTGTGCTAATACAGGACACTTCTACCTGGATCAGTATTATGTCTAGCAAAAACATCTCTTGTGCAATCTTGTTCTCAAATCTCTCCTATTCAACCATCAGCCCTTCTCACTGTCTATAGCAGACTGCATGTGAATGGGTGTATGGTAAGGGGGAGAAAGGGACAGATGGAAGGAGGAGGACATCTTGATTTTTTTTTGGTACTAGGGATTGAACCCAAGGCCTTTGCAACTGATCTACATCCTCAGTTCTTTTTTATTTTTATTTTTTAAATTTTGAGGCAAAGTTTCATTAAACTGTTCGAGCTGGGCTCAAACTTGGGATCTTCCTGCCTCAGCCTCCCAGTGTGTTGGTGTTATGAGCATGGGCCACCGTGCTCAATTCTGGCTGATTTTGATGTTTCTCTTAGGAGATAAAGATAAATGTAATTTATTTTTCCTTCCAATATATTTCTTATTCAAAGGAGCAAATTTAAAAGTTTATTATGTACATATATATTATATATAATGTATATATATACATACAGTACATATGTGTCATATATGTATATATACCATATATAATATATACAATGATTGAATTATTTTAATGAACTCAAGTTAATGAATAAATTTTAGTGAATTCATCTTAATTAATAAATTCAATCTTTTTATATATTATATATACACATTCATGATTTGCTTACAGAATGTTTTAATCTGCCACTATTCAATATTCTTCTTGGCCAAACTGGACAGTAGTAGAGAAGGTGATCACCATTGCCCTTTCTAACTGGCTAGCTCCATTTTTAAAGCATCTTTCTATATTATTTCCCAAGATTGCCCTAATTCCTTCCAAAATCATTTACACTCCTAAATTACTGCAAATTTTTAATATTCCAATGACAACAGAGGCATTCTCTAAATTTCTTCCCCAATGGCTTGAACTCAGATGAATTGGATAATTTATTCTGAAAAACTCAATATATGAATTCAAATATAAGCCTTAATGCAAAAAAATTAAATCTACAATATCTAGTTATTTTGGATGCTTCAAATGAACTTTATTTTGTATCTCATGTATCGAACACTAACTGAGGTTTACGAAGGGAAGAACCGCTAAACTGGATAGCCAGTGAAGTGTATGCTTTCTTGAAACTTAATGGCAAGCTTTCATCCCAGAAACATACGGGGATTCTTGAGGCCTGCAGTTGCATTCTTGCCGCTCAGGATAATCAATAAAATCTGGGGCAGGCAAGCCAGACAGAATCATTAGGGATTTGTTCCAGATTGTGAATGTTGGACAAACTGGAAGGATGAAGGTCACATCGAAAGTATGAAGATGAAGAGAGTTAGCTGGGTCGTAGAAAGACAGCATGTTGTTGTCATAATCCAGGAGGACACCCAGGCGCTTCAATTGCGGGGGCACATCCACTAGCATTTCCTTATTGTTATGTCTCACAACGAAGTTACTATTGCAGCGAGAGAAGACCCACGAGGAAGCATTCTTGCCAATCCATTCATTCTTTGGAGCTGACTTGTAGGCAATACCAATTGCATACCTGTGAAACAGGAGAAAGGAGGGAGAAACAGAAACCATATAGGATGTATAAATAAGAAGTAAAATACAAATTCCTTCCCTAGTTTACATGTAAATATATAATAGATATATCACTTAGAACTTAAAAGATAGCAGAGTGATGAAGTAGTTTCTGTCCCCTAGTCCAGGGTATTTGCTATGATTTTATGAAAATGGTTGGTTTTGATCACATACCTTTTAAACTTGACACATGTGTATTCTGGTTGTGACCTTACCAAGAACCTAACAGCAAACGAGGTAAGAGAAAATAAAAATGAGATTCACTCACCATGTTGAGGAACCCATGACAACTTCCCAATAATGACAGCCACTGTCAATGAATATATTTCCTGCTGCCCCATAACATCCTGTGCCACTAAATCTCTCTGGGGTGTGGCTTTTCTTCAGAGAACTTTCATCCTTCTCCATCTGTAATCCATCATTGGAGATCTTCAACTTTCTGTGAGTCATTTTGGGATCCAGTTTAAAGGGTTGACCTGAGAAAAAGTAGAAAACAAAAAAGTATGATGAGATATTTAGGGAATTACACCTTTGTCTTACAAGACCATCACTACCCAGGGAACCCTGATCTGATGATCATTTTTGGGTTAGTGTGAGTTGGCTACTACTTAGATTAGATTAAAGAAGAAGGCCAAAAGCCATAGTTTTCAAATAAATAAGAATAAAGATGAGGACAATCTTCCATAAAATGACTTTCATGGAGGCATTTATTTTCCCACTGTGGGAAAAATGTGGGTGTCTCATACAAATATTTTGCTGGAAATCATACTCCAAGCACAGAGGAGCTAGTAAGTTGCACATCCACCATTTATTAGCAAATTAAAACAGGGCTTTCAAAGTCTAATATCTGCAATTGGGCTTTGTACTTTGCTTTAATTTCAGTAGGTCGTTTGGGACTTGGACAGATTATAGGGTAAGGAGCACTGTGATATTTGAAACGGGACAAAGCAAGAGGTACTTATGGGGCAATTGCTGCTTGGTGATAAAACAAAAGAAAAAAACCTAAAAAGGTCTCGGCAACAGGACAAGTTTTTGCCCTCTTAAAATTAACATATAAATCACATTAGACAACTTTGTTACAGAGACTATTCTATCATCAGTGAGCATAAAAAACATTTAATATGTAGTATTCACAACAGAATATTCCCTTTAACCATATGACAAAAATACTGCCACCAGCAGCCAGTTGCTAGGTATTAAAAGAGCTTTATTATACAACAGGTTTCGGTGACAGACACTGTGGGTAGCACAATGCCTATTCCCTACTTTTTCTCTTACTCAGTCTCCCAGTCTTCCCTGTTGCTAGGGATGGCTAGTAAGATGAAAGTAGAAGTCAGACAGAGAGGTAGAAGATCCAGGAAAGTCTGTTTTCTCCTTTTTCAAGGAACAACTCTTGTTCCCCATTGTCTTATCTTGAAAGGAGACAAAGGGCCTGGAGGTTGCAGCAGCCATCTTGCCACCATAGGGCAACAAGCCAGTACACAAGGGGAAAAAGAACTTGAGCTTTCTATGATATCACAGAGCTGCTATACCAGCTCTGAACTTCTCACTTTTAAGGTTCTTGCTACATGAAAGCAAGAGCATAAGAGGGGGAAAAAACACTATTTAAGCAACTAATCAATACTGTTTTAAAGTTGTTAATTGTGCTTCCTGATATCTTCAATTAAATGTATTTCTAACAGATATGGCTTCTCTGCAGTAGAGTTTTGTTAGATTACCACAAATAATTCTCTTTCATTCAACAGTTCTCAAAGCATGGGTGTGGATACCAGAGGAAAATCCTTCACTTAAGGTTCTCCCAGGCTATCAGGTATTTTGTGTATCTCTTCAGCCACAAATCTCCCATGGACACTAGCAGACCCCTTGCCCAAAGCATGAACTATAAAAATAAAGCTCTTCTGCCCAGTGCCATTGCTATCTTGCATTGTTGTGGCTGTCTGCTTGGGCTAAGTGTCCACCCTGGCACAGACAGGAAAACAGATCTCTCCTTTTGGAATCACCACAACATACTGTTTGTTTTTAGTCGGGTAGGTTCACTGTTCCGGCTGCCTGCTTGGTTTATGGCTTTAACAATGAAGATATATCGTGTCCCACTCTGGAGTCCATGTACAGTGTAATGGTTTTGTTTAATATTGGGCACAATCATCCAGCTATCCACTGAGTTATACAGGCCTGTAAAATGGGAAAACACAAGCACATCAACCAACAAGTAATAATATAAAAAAAAACACTAAAAATTCAATCATAAGCCCCTCCCCTTGTGAATTCATTTCATTTTCTTTTGACTCTTGAAAGACATAACAAGATGAACCCAGACTTATGATTTCACTACTTGTTTTCTCCCAGAGAACTAGGATCATGCCAGGATCCTCACTTCTGGCAATGGAAGAACTAGTAAAACTTACTGGCTTTTTTGGTTACTGACAAAAGTTAGGTTATATCAATTTTCTCCCATATAATACAGAAAAATGACCACTATGTCAAATCAAAGAATTATCACTGTTACAGAGTCTCTAAATCTTTATGCCAAATGTCCACTCCTCTGAGAGTTGAGACTGGCCTCATGTGGATGGAGCAGTCCTGTGCAGAGCACAGAACCATGGAAACTCATTGAAAAGGACACCGAGACATCCAATGTCTCTCGTTTTACAAGTGGGATACTAGGATGGAGAGAAAAAAAGTCACTTTCTCAAGGCCACAGATTGTTAGTGATGATGCTGAGAACAGAGCCCTGGTCCAAGTTCCTGGTCTTTTCATCTTAGTCCAGAGTTTTCTCCACTATATCACAAATTCATGGGGTGAGTGACAATGGTCCTTAGCAAGGTAGTGAGGCTTTCAAGGCTTGTGATTCCACTCTTCCACCCAATCTTCTGCCTTACTTCCCAAATCTGATGGGCTCAAACATGTATGTTATCGAGAAGACAAGAAGATGACATGAAACCAAAAGAAGATATTCTCACTGCACTTACACATTTTTAACCCTTTCTAGCTCTGACTCTCACATTCCTCTGGAGCCAGGTGGTCTAGAAATACATTGCTGATTGAAACCTTCTTCCTTTCCAATTAGGGAAAGGGATCAGAAATGTAGGCTTCTGTTTTTGAAATCCCTTAGACTATAAACATTGGCTTAATCAGGGGAAATATGCATAACTAAAAACATGCTTTTGGCTAGCTTTCAGTAAAAGAAGGACCAAAAATATCATCTGTGGATAATCTAGATGTGTCTCTTCTGTCATCTGTTTTTCAATCAGCTTATCACTTTTTAACCACAGTTCTACCACAGGGTAGAAAGAAAAAGGAAAGGAAAATGAGCAGTGAGTTTGATCAGTCCTATATGTCTCTAGAAAACTTTGAAATTTGTAAATAAAAACTCATCCATCTTTTTCAAATGAGTGGTTTAACAACTAATTTGGGGGGAAGTAGAAATAGCCAAAATTAAAACTAGAAAAATAAGAATAATGAGCACAAGCAGATTTGTTACAGAAAAAAAGATTAAGAATGTGGAGATGCACAGTGATTCTTATGAAAAGACAATCAGGATAAGGTCCAGGAACAATGCTTGAGTCCTTAGTTATCCATATATCAGTGCTCAGAATGAATCATAGACTGCACATGAAATTTTAATAGATAGAACAATATATAATCTTCACAATATGTTTCCAACAATACAAAACAATCAAATTTTAAAACTTCACAATTAAATATACACAGCTATAAATATAGAATGAGGATGCTGTCTATATTGTCTACAGAATGATTTCCAGGATATACAGTCAGTTCAACAAAGAAAATCATACGAGCCCATACATGCTATGCTACTTCTTTGAGAGAGAGAAAAAATAAGAAAACATACTGTATTTGCTTAGATTTACAAAACAACAATAGTAACAGGAAGGATAACCCAGAAAATAATGAAGTTGCTTACCTATGAGGGACGTAGTGGAGAAAAAGATAAAATGATATGGAAAGAAATGACACTGTCATTGTTAGGAATTTGTTTCTGTAATGGTATGAGCAAAGCAATTCTGAAAATATTTTAGATATAGTTTGAGATTGAACAAATAAATACATGTATTGACTTTTTTGGGAGCCAAGTTTCTCACTGCAGAAGAGGGAATAATATATGATGAGGGAAGGCAAGAAAAAGCTTGTGGAGATGGACTGGGGCTGGGGATTTGACATGACTGATGACTGTGACTTCTAAAATATGAACAATCTGCTCCTCTTATTACCAGGTTCCATGTCTGAAGAATCGACCAACCACAGACTGAAACTATTTTTAAAAATTGTGTTTATACTGAACATGTACAGACTTATTCCTTGTCATGATTTCCTAAACAATACAGTGTGACAACTATTTGTATAACATTTATATTTTATTCTCTAGAAAAGATTTAAAGTATATGGAAAGATGTGGGTAGGTTATATGTAAATACTGTACTATTTTTTTTTAAAGAGATTTGAGCATCTGGAGACTCTGTATCCTCAGGAAGCCCTGGAACAAATGCCACATGAATACCAAGGGATGATTATATATGTTTTTCTGTATGCATACAGATGTGTACGTATGTAGAGGATGTATGCATGATTATTATATGTGTCTGTATATGCCTACTTACATGAATATCTAGTACCTATGTCTTGGTCTAAATCTTTTCCTCCCACTAAAAGGAACCAAAGCTCCTTCCAAAAATGGTTGATTTTAAGCCTGGGACAGGACAAGGTTATAATAACCTGATGGTGTTTTGTTATGCCACGAAGTAAGGAAGTATTTGTGAAAATGATATGAGAATAGCCTAAGGATCCATGAGTCATCTTATAAAACTCCTATTGGCTAAATCTGGACCATTTAAGCACCAAAATAAATAACAGGTATAAAAAATCTTTGATAGTAGAGAATTCATGGGTCCATAATGATAAATAAATAAACAAATGATGGGAAACAGGTAGTGGGGCCCTGGCTTATAGTAGAGTGGTTAAGGGCCAAATTGTAAATGTGGAAGGGAATACTCAGTTAGAAGCCATAATTTTGCAATCTACATAGTAAAGATTGGATCAGGCAAGAGTCATTTTAACTGATGCTAAAACAGTGGTGGAGAGGAGATGGATTTGATGAGAAAGCACAATATTTTCATGATCTTAAAGTATCACCACATAGGTGGCTTACTAGTGGCAGAAGAAAAATACAGGAAGAAATCAGATAAAATTTTGAATGAATAATCAAAATTAGCATCAAGAATGAAGGGAAAGCAGTTATCATGTGCCTCCACATATGGCACCCTAAGAAGGACACAGTGTTACTTATGCAGTGTTACCGCCATCAGGTATAACCTGGCTATAATTGTGAGGAAACATCAGGCAAACCCCAAATAAGAAATAGTCCAATAGAGAAATGAAAGGTAAATTTAAAATGTTACTGTTATTAAATAGATGAATGAGGAACTATTCCAGACTAAAGTACAGTAAAGAGATAAAACAATTAAATGCTATACCTGATCCTAGACCATAAAGGACCACACTGGGTTTTTCATATGTTACAGTGTCTATTATTGGCTCAATTATTAAAGTGGGAAAAGGAGTGGTGGTTTAGACAAAAATATTACATCAATGTTAAATTTCTCTAAAGTTGGTAATTGTGCATCTCCCTATTTTTTTTAAATCTTGAAGACATAAAGATAGGCAAAAAATCTTCATATTCTTAAGAAACATATATTAAAGAATTTAGGGATGAAAGGCCATGATACATACAATTTACTTTCAATTCCTCTGAAAAAAATAAAATGGTATAATGGCAAAGGAAATGGGGCAAAATAGTGGTAGTAGGTAAAACTGGGTAAACAGTATGTTGGCATTCTTTGTGCTAGTGTTGCAACTTTTCTGTAATTTTGAAGTCAGTTCTAAACTTTAAAAGGTAAATATATGATCTCATGAGTATCCATGAGACTTAGTAAGATGGGATTTATGACTGAGTTGTGGTAATAGAAATATGCCTCTTTTTCAAAAGGGAAACCCTACAATATGAAAATTTTTGAGGCTGAGTTTAAACATGTGGTGGAAAGCATTTACATGAGAATAAAAAGGAGGGAAAATAGAAGTTATGTACATCAGTATGTTATAGACACTCTGGCCCAACAAGGTGTATGGCCACTACTTTCTAAATGCGAAACACAAAATTGAAGCTGGGCATGTTGATGCACACCTGTAATCCTAGCACTCTCGGGGTAGAGGCAGGAGGATCACTGTAAGTTTGAGGCTACTCTGGATTACATAGTGAGTTCAAGGCCAGCTTGTATAACATACCAAGACCATCTAAAAAATGCACACTAAACAAGTACACACAAATAGAACAGAGAGAAATGATACAATACAGTAATTGCTAAGACAAATGTCTGTTAGAATTATCTTTCTGTTAGCACCATCATCTGAAACATTACTACATCTGGTAATTTCAAATCTTAAAAGAGGTTGGATAAAAGTTAAAGATGAAGGAAGTTTTTAAAAAATGCAGAAGAACTACTTTTCCAGACTTCATTCTAACCTACAAGAAAGAAATTTCTGAATAAAGAAAATGTGAAAAAATTCCTCAAAGGAAAGTAGTTCTAAGAACTGGGTTCAGTCAAGAGTGATAGACTAGGGGACTGAACTTTCATAAATATTTCCATTAAAACAGTTTCCCGTTGCTATCTGACATTTGCTTCAAGGCTCAGCCTTTGTTCTTGTCCTACTGAATTCTATCAACAACTGGAGGAAGACATAGAGGACAGGCTGGGAGGGAAAGCAAATGTATCGCAAGGTCAAATTTGGATCCAAAAGCATCGTGGCATTTTAGAATGAAGGAAGCAATACTATCCAGGTTAAAAAACTAACAGGGATAAATTAAAGGTGTTGAGTTTCAACTTAGACAGTTGAATAGGAAAAAAATCTGGAATTCAGAGGAATTTCAATTGACTATATACTCAGTAAGCAGTCGATAGTCAAAGTGGCTGTCAAAAAATAGAATCAGTTCACGAAGAAAAGAAATAATCCAGTTGTTCTCTGTGGTGGTCAGACCAGTTTTAAAGTACTGTTTTCACTCTTTTGACAGCATACTTTATAAAGCACTGTGGCAAACAGGAGTGTCTATGAAAAGAATATCAAGATAAAGGGTCATATGAGGACCAATTGAAAGAACTGAGGATATTTACTGAGGAGAAGAAAAGATTTAGAAGGGACAAAGGAGTAACCTACAATTATCTAAAGAACAGTTATGTGAAAGATAGATGCATTAAAGGCACAAAAGGCCAAATCTAGGACTAATTGGTAGCTGCAGTTTGATTCAAAAATCATTAAATGTGAAGTCTTACAGGCTTGAGCTCTAATCTTGACTCCATCATTTCATAGCTCTGTGACCTTGGGCAGCTCAGTTGAACCTCAACTGCTCATTTATAAAATACGATGTGCCCAAAATTGTACACATGTTTCAGGAAAAGAAAAATAGTACGATGTTTTTCAACATATGGTATTACCTTCATATGGGGGGACCATGAGGATGTTGAATGTTGAGTGTTGTAGACAACCACTACACTGCTGGCCCTTGGAGAAGAAACTGAAAATGCACGTGAAGCAATCTTGATGATCAAGGTTACCCAAGTAGCATTTTGCTGTACTAATAAATGTCTGGAAGCTAATGGTCACAACTTTGAGTGACTTTTGCAATTGTAGAGGCCAAAGGTGATTTGTACTAGTCTCATGGTGTCTCAATAAATTAAGTATGAAAACATTTATACAAGTTTTTCTTTTCCTGAAGTGTGTATACATTTTTGGCAGACTGTAGAATCAGATATCATCTATTTCATAAGGCTAAAGATTCATAAGGACTAAATAAGATAATATGTGGGAATGTTTATAAGTGACAAACACAAATGATTATTGTCATTATCATTTACTAAAAGAAAAAGGTGTCTTATAAGGAAACACTGGCAATTACTTACAGTTGTAAAACAACCAAATGGATTGTTTGGTAAAAGTGAGTATTCGTCACTGGTAATGTTTAAGCAGAGAAAGAACAATTATTTATTAAATATCTGGAGGAAGAGAATATTAGACTGGCTGATTTCTAGGTCCATTCCAACTCTAAAATGTTATGATTCCATCACTATTAAGAATCCTTTAGGTTGTTCTTTACAAAGGGCTCTACAGACTTTAAAACAGACATGATGACCTTTAGAACTTTGCCATTTCTTGGACTTGATCTCAACTCCCGGGAGATAACTGTTCTCCCCATATCAAGAAGAAGCATAGTTCCTGGCTCTATAATGCTCCAGAACATGGAAGACCTCTACAGAAAAGCACACTGATGAGGACTTAGAGTTCTTGACTTCTGAACCTGAAGGAACACAGCTGTGCAGGCCAAGTGGCTTAGAATGGAGCTGCACGAGGCAAGTGTTTGACCCAAATGTTCTATCATTTCCCAAACACACTATTGTCACAAAACAGATTTCTGCTCCAAAACTGTCAGAAAACCAGAAAAGGAAGCCTACAAGAAGAGCTTAGTTATACAAATTATTGTGTTGGCCTGTGAAGTCAGACATACATCAAATCACAAAGGTAAAAGACAGTATTAACTTGCAGCTATGCAGATGCAAAACAGGGTAGGAAAACTCCCAGTTTAGAATCCAGCTGTTTCTGCTTTAATTTTTATTCTCTCCCAGCCCAGGGCACTGAGAGGAAATTTTCAGATCAATGCCACTTGGCTGGTAATTGGTGAGTTAATTTTCTATTCTGCTTTATCTCAATCCAATTCACCAGAAGATGAATTCATCATAACACATGAGCTATACAACTGCTTTTGTGTGTATGTGTGGTACTAGATATGGAAAGCAGGAGTGCTCTAACACTAAGCTACATCCCCAACCCTTTATATTTTTATTTTGACACAAAATCTCCCTAAATTGGTCAAGATGGCATGAAACTCAGAATCCTCCCTCAGCTTTCCAAGTATCTGGGATTACAGATGTGTACTACCACTCCCGGGAACAATTGCTTTTTTAAACAGTTTTCGTTTTGTAGCCCATTGACTCACATGTTTTTCTTCATGGAAAGGCAGAATGAGTAAAGTGAAGAGTGACAGATCAGAAGGCCTATCACTATGATCACTGATATGAATGGTAGAGGAAGTGAATGTCTTTGCATATATTATATTTTGTCATGATAATAAAGCAGAAGAAATTAGGGAGACAGATGTTCACAAACATGGAACCATAAATCATGGAGGTTAAGCTATCTAGGAACCAATATTAACCAGCGCTCTTCTTGACAGAGTTCAGTGACGTGGATTAACTGAAAAAAGGCTGATTACAAAAACAAATGAGAGTGGCCCCAGTAACTGCCCAGCAAGGAATACTCAACTTGCTTGTTGCACATAAGTAAGGTGTTTGCAATGCCTTGGGAAGCTTACACTGTCTATGAAAGACTGTACTAAACAACCTAACATTGTCTTACAAACACTTGCCTCGTGGCGCCCCGGCCAATCTTGAGCAGCTTACTGCTTCCTTACATTTCCTTATCTCTGGCCACAGGCCCCAACTACACCATGACTTACTGATGAAGTTAGCCTGGCCAGTGAATATGGTGTACTGAAGCTCATAGGAGCTGATGCTGAACTCATCATCCGAGATCCAGTGGACTGTAATGGTGTCATGGGAGGCAGTACAGAGTTCCTCTCGGATAGAGGGTGGGTTGGGGGCTGTAAAGAAAAGGAGAAAAGATGGTAAAGAAAGCATACTGTCTCTTCTTGAATTTTATAATCCTTAATCTACCTACCTAACCCAATATCTCTTGAGGAGGTAATTTTTATTTTTATTTTCAATGTTGCGGATTGAACCCAGAGTCTTGTGACTACTAGACAAACATTCTATCACTGAATTACATCCTCAACCATTTCAAAATTGTATTTTAAGACACCATCTCCCTAAGTTGCCAGGCTGTTCTCGTATTTGATCCTCCTGCCTCAGGCTCCCAAGTAGCTGGTATTACAGGTATGCATCATCACAACCAATTTCATTTTTCTTTTCTTGTAGACATTTATTAGCCTTTAGCGCTGACATTTTAACACATGTACTGTCACTTATGACAGCTGTTTCTTATAAGCAAAACCTGTCTAGAAAACTAACTTTGAGCCCTGACAGCTCTTAGACTTAATATGATACTTTGTAAGACATAAGAAAATAAACATGAAAACCAAAACTAATGTTAGAGAGGATAAAGTCTCAGCAGAGCTAAGGTAATTCACACTAAGGAAATAAATATCAGGAAGGATCACATTATTTGGCATTCTTTATTTTCTAAAGTTGTCTGTGAGTCAGGTATGGCTTATATCTTTTTACTGGCCTGCTGGTGTCTAAGTTTCCTTGAAACAGTTTGCGTAGGATCTGTTCCCATGTAGTACATTGTCTAATATTCTCTAATTCCCATCTGAGTTCTACCTTTCTATCAAGCAAAAATATACAACTGATAGGCTCATAGCAAGAAATTCATTAGCAATTTCTTGCGTTTTACCTTTAACAGTATATGATACATCCATCCTGCCCCCGGAATTATTTGACAAATTATCTTTTCTGTTACTGGAACTAAAACACATTCTATCTAAAAAGGTATATATATATCATTTTAATGATTATAAAAACACTTTTACTGTAAATACTGTCCTTTTTAGAGTATTTTAAACTAAAAGCACACCAAAAGAAAACAAATTAAGATGAGAAGAAAAGCATTGTAGCTCCGTACCTGTTAAATAGTCTAGCCCCTCCAATAGTTTCTTTTCTCTAGAAAAATCTAAAGCAAAGTTTTCAAAGGCATCATTAAAATTGATATCTGGAATCAGAACTTGAGAAGATGCAGTTGCCATAGCAACTCTGGAAAAAAAAAGTACATCAATATTCATTAAAATCGGTTTGCAACCTTCATTCAGTGTTTGATTTCTGGTGTAATGAAGTAAAAATATTTTATCTGTGCTTTTCCAATGGAAACCATTTCAATTTTAATCTTCAGGAACCAATTAAGAGTTACAGCATATTTATTCACATATGTTCACTCTTCAAAAAGACTCTCCCATCCTCTCTTAATTTTGAGAAGTAAATAAAGGATTTTTCTCCCTCTGCATCATTTTCCATCTGGCAGGCAGCATCAAAACTAGACCTCTGAAAGCTTGGTAAGAGCAGTTTGATTTTTTTCTCACTAATTTTTCATATTAATCAATGAACCAACATGCTAGGTTAATATATTTCCCCAAATACTGCCCTTTGTTATATCTTTTGTAATGTCTATACATCATTTTATTAAATATTCAGTAGTTGGGGCTGGAGATTTAGCTCAGCGGCATGAATGCCTGCCTTGCAAGCACGCAGTTGTGAGTTTGATCCCTGATACCAATAAAAAATGCATAAACAAATATTCAGTAAATGCACAATTTTATTTCTCCAACTGACTCTAAAAAATTCAAAAGTGAGGTTCATATTTTGTACTTATATTTTCCACAGACTCTAAAACACTGTTGGACACATAGTGAATAAACAGTTGATGAATGCATAACTGAAAGTTTAGTAACAATACAATCATTAACATTTATTGAGTGTTTAGTGCATGCAAAGCAGTGTGCATGTACTTCACATACATTATCTAATCCCTTCCTTGCTGTAGACCTGTGTAGTAGATGTTATTTTCATTTTGCAAGTGAATTGATGACATACTGTAAAGCTAAGTAACTTGCCCAAGATCATACTATTAGTGAAGCCCAAAATATAATTAAACCTCTATATATTGACTCTAAGCCCTATACCCATAATCATCTTTCCTTCTCCCCTCCACTTTGCCCTTTCCCCTTCTGGACTGAGCCCGGGCCTTATGTCATGCTGCACAAGCACTCTACCACTGAGTTATATCCCCAACCCTTTTTATATTTTATTTTGAGCCAAGCTGTCCCTAAACTGCCTAGCCTGGCATCAAATTTTCAATCCTCCTTCCTCAAATTCCTGAGTGGCTGAGATTGTAAGTGTGTATCACCATGCTTAAAGAGACCACTTTTTAAACTTGTATATACTTTATATACTTCAAAAACTCTTAACCGTGGTTACACATCAGAACTGTCTGCAGAGCTTTTCCAATATATACATGTTTAAATCCTTTATCAGACTTCTGAATCAAAGCCAATGAAGATCCTTAGATACGCAAATGACAGGATTTAAAGAAACATTAATTTTTCAAGAATAGATTGGTTAAAGTGGAAAGAAGAGGCATAGAGTATAGGAAGATCAGTTGTACAGGGGTTGGGAGATGAACAGTATATAACCTCATGCACATATAACCTGCTAAGACCTATGAAAAATATATCTTGGCTATTTTTGAAAATAGAGATGTTTCAGGAATAAACTGCAAGCCAGTATAAACAAGTGAAAGACTAATTCAGTATAATTTTAAGGTCTCACATTGAATAGCCAGTCTTCTAGTATTTAGTGAGTAAGGAGTTAACTTCTTTAAGGTAAGACTTAAACCAGAAAATTGGGCTCCTATAATTTCTTTCTGGTTTCCTCAGTTTTCCTTCCTCTCATCCATCCACCTAGCCACACAATACTTAGTAAGCACAACTAATGTGCCAATCATCAGAGATACACAGAGAAAACAAGCTTGCTATAGTCCTTGCCCTCACAGAACGCACAGATCATGGAAGATACAGGCATTAAATAGCCATACATAGGAAGTACAGAAAACACATCAATAACCTAGCAGGGAGATGGGTTCTAAGGAAAAAAATCTACTCCAAGGAAGACAATGACCTGCATGATGAATAAGATTTACCTATGCAAAGACTATTTTGGATATGTATGTTATTTCTTGCTAGAAATCTAGAGAATGAGACAAAGTCATGGTAGGGATTTATGGGCCATGTTGCAAATTTTTCCCTGTATTTTAAGAATAATGGAAGTCACTAAAGCATTTTAAGCAGGAGTATTATACTCAAACTTATGTTTTAAGAAGAGTATTATTAATTATATTATAATAATTGGATTAGAAAAAGTCGAAATTGGAAAGAAGCAGACCAATTTTTTTGAGACAAGGTCTCACTATGCAGTTCAGGCTGGCCTTTAACTCACTACGTAACCCAGAATGGCCTTGAACTTGCAGCGATCCTCCTGCATCAGCCTTCCAAGTGCTGGGATTACAGGCATGCGCCACTACACCCAGCTAAAGAACATTAAATATTAAAGTGTCTATGTATAAGCAAGAAGTAAAATAATAACAGGAGTGCAGATAAATGAAACGCAAAGATTTAATTCAAAAAAGATGAAAACAAGTGGTCAAAACCACATTAAAAGTCAAACTATATGAGAAATCAAACAAATGTAAATTAAAATGGGAATTTTAATTATGAATAATGACAATACAAGAACTTTTTATTGTTATATTAAGTAATGCCTACATAGTTCAATTAAGACTAAAATTGATGCATTCTGGAGGCTAATTTATCATTAAATATTAAAATTAGCCAAGTATGAAGATATATGCCTATAATCATAGAACTTAAGAGACTGAGTCAGTATAATGAGTTTAAGGTCAGTATGCACTGTATCAAAAAACTAACAAAGTTTAAAATCGAAAATTCTTTGACATTATAGCCCTACTTCAGAAATTTTTTACTAAGGAAACAATTGAGATATACACAAAGATACAACTACAATGGTACTCAACCTGGTATGTGTAAATTAATAGTCTAACAATGAAAATTGAGTTAACTTTATTATATATCAACAGATGAAATACAATGGGGCCATTGGAAATCAGGTTCCACAATGATACAAGAGATGTCTGTGATATATTAAAGTTTCAGATGTAAGTTATACTGTAGTATATATGACATGACCTTATGTTTGTGAAAAACAATATCTTGAAATCAAGCTACTGTAGTATATTCTCAAATGGTAGCTGAAAGGTTGACAATGAACTAAGAATGACATTATAGAATGATACCACACACACACACACACACACACACACACACACACACCTGTCTTTCTGTGTTAAAACACAACATCAGCATCTTACTAGTGTCTCTCAAGGCCTTGATCTCTATTAGAGATAATATAAGTGCCACTTGTAAGGAGAAGAGGACTTGTTTCTCAGCTAATATTTTACTTTATCTGAAGACATACCTCTTAACACTATACAATGAGTAATGGCAAGAAAGAATTTCAGACCCTATCAGAGTCTAGTGAGAAAAATACTTAAGTTAGATAAGTCGTACCATATAGATTGCCAATTTTCTACCTACACTATAGGCCAGTGATGGCTAACCTTTTAGAGATGTGCGCCCAATCTGCAACAAGCAGCAACAGGTATTGTTTGCAAAGACACACAACACAGGTGCCAAAGGTTTGATTACCACTGCCATAAGCTGTACTTGAACCTATGGAAAGAAGATTGACACAGACATTTGGGAATCCTCAACACGATAACTGATGTTAATTCAATGGTAATAAAGTCCTAGGAGCTAAAGGGTTTACAATGCAAATGTGCAGCAAGACAGGAAAATATCTAAAAACATAATCAGGAAGAATGATAACATTAAAAGAATAGTTCAATGAAGGTTTGCTCACACAGGCAAAACCAAACAGATTAGGAAACCAGGAATATATATGAAAGTTAAGGGCAGAGTGATTTCAAGTAAAAATGGTCAGTAGGGACAAAGGCTACTAAAACATGAAGTAAGATAAAGAGTGACATAGAACAAAGGAGTATCTATTATGTTTATTAATAAAATTTGGTGAACTTGAAAAGTACTTTGATATAGAAGTGAGAAAACAGTTCAGATGTTGAATATTAGCTGAATATAATCAAATATAGTAGTTTAGATATATATTTTTATCTCTGCTTTCAAGAAATCTTATTGAAATTACAAAAATGGAACATTATAAACCCACAAGGACAAAAAATATGGAAAAGGATGCCAGCAATTCAAAGTATTTCAAAAAATGTTCTAAAGCCAGAAAGGGATGGATGTGTGGTAGCCAACAACAGGCCAGAGAAAGGTAGATCAGGAAGCCAATATCAAACTGACTTAGTGACTCAAAGTTGAAAATTTTTAGGAGGAACAAGACCTCCATTCAATAGAGATATCCCTTCCCTCAGACTGCCAGATGATAAAAGTTTACTTTCTCACATCCAAATACTAACCAGGCCTGACTCTGCTTAGCTTCCGAGATCAGATGAGATCGAGTGCATTCAGGGTGGTATGGCCGTAGACTTTACTTTCTGCAGAGCTTTGACATACTAAAATCATCCCAAAAGTCTCTGCTCCCTTGTCTATTTGACTCCCAGAATGCGGGCATCTAGGCTCACAACCTTCACCCTGACCAATAGCAGGAGACTGGAGGATTGCCTCCAGGGAAAACTGACCCAAGAAAAAAACACATATATAACCAACAGTTGGGAGGTCCTTTAATAAAATGAATAAATAAACTAACACTCCCCCTTTTAATACGATAGCAAAATTCATCAAGGGACAAACAATTGGACCCACCCACTCAAGGCTGTTAAGCGCTTTTTAATGCTTAAGGTCAAAAAAGCCTGCTACACATTTAGAAAAGGATAAGAACTAAAATCAAAAGAAAAAAGTAACATGGGGGAAACTACGACAATGCAGGAATCTAAAGGAAGCTTTTAAAATAGGAAATATTCTTGGAAAACAAAATGGTTTATGTCCACAAAGAAATATTTGAGTGCTAAAAAGAAACATGTATCAACAAAGGGTTTTTGTAAACAAAAATGTGACGGCTTAAATTCATTTTTCAATAAAGAAACTGGACAAAAAAATAAGGAAATATCTTTGGTACTAAAACAGAAGAACAAAGTCACAGAATTT